ACTCCATTGTGGTTGAAGAATGTACTCTGAATGATTTCAGTTCTCTTAATTTTGCTGAGGTTTGTCTCATGGCCCAGAATATGGTCCACGTTAGTCCATGGTCTGTGGGTGCCTGAAGAGAGCACATATTCTGCTCTTGTTGGGCGAGTGTTCTATAAACATTGATTAGACCTGTTGACTGATGGTGCTGTTGAGTTCTTCTCCAGCCTTGCTGGTTTTCTCCTTATTTGTCCTGTCAGTCACCAAGAAAGTGGTGTTGAAATCCCCAATTAGGACAGTGGATTTATCTGTTTCTCCTTTCAGTTCCATCAGTTTTTGCTTGACAACATTTGCAGCTCTGTTGTTTGGTGCATGCACATTTAGGACTGCTATGTGTTCTTGGTGGATTCACCCTTTTATGATTATATATAGTCTCTGTCCCTGATAATTTTGTTTGCTCTAAAGACTAATTTATCTGCTGTTACTCTAGCCTCTGCTACTTTCCTTGATTAATGCTTGCATAATATATCTTTTCCTACCCTTTTACTTTCAACCTGCCTATAGCATTATATTTGATGTGAGTTTCTTTCTTTTTTTTTAAGATTGGCACCTGAGCTAACATCTGTTGCCAATCTTCTCTTTTTCTTTTTCTTTTTTTCTTCTTCTCCCCATAGCCCCATAGTACATAGTTATATATTCTGGTTGTAGGTCCTTCTAGTTGAGCTATGTGGGACACTGCCTCAGCATGGCCTGATGAGCGGTGCTAGGTCCATGCCCAGGATCCAAACTGGTGAAACCCTGGGCCACTGAAGCGGAGCACACAAACTTAATCACTTGGCTATGGGGTGGCCCCGGAAGTGAATTTCTTATAAACAGCATATAGTTGGGTCATGCATTTTTAATCTGCTCAGTCAGTGTCTGTCTTCATTGGTATATTTAGCCCGTTTACATTTAATGTAATTATTGATGTGTTGGGTTTAAATCTGTCATTTTATTTTTTTGTTTTCTATTTTTTCTTTTTTTCATTTTTCTGTTCTCTTTTCCCTGCATTCCTTTAGGTTATGTTAATATTTCTTGGAAATCCATTTTGATTTATCTGTACTGTTTCTGAGTGTATCTCTTTGATACCTTTTTAGTGGTTGGTCTAGTTATCACATTGTATACATATCACTTATCACAATTTATTGATGTCATCCTTTTACCAGTTTGAGTGGGGTTTAGAAACATTGCCTCCCTTTATGAACCTGCCCTTGTTTATTATAATTATTTAAAAAATTTCTTCCACATACATTTAGAAGCACATCAGACAGTGCTATCACATTTGCTTCAACTGTCGAACATATGTTAGACAACTCAAGAGAAGGAAAGCTTATCATAATTGCCTATATCTTCACTTTCCTTGTTCTTTTTTCCTTTTTGATTCTACAAGGTTCCTTCTTCTGTCATTGCCTTTCAACTTAGAGAAGTTTGCTTAGCAGTTCTTTTTGGGTACGTCTGCTTTAAAAAATGTTCTCATTTTCCTTTTATCTGAGAATATCTTATTTTCCTCATTATTCCTGAAGGATATTTTTGCTGGGTATCTTGACTGGTAGATTTTCAGGATTCTGGGTTGACAGCTCTTTTCTTTCAGCATTTGAAAAATGTCATGTGATTTCCTATGGCCTCTGTGTTTTCTGATGAGAAATCTGTCATTTGAATTATGTTGCCCTCATAGGTAAGGTGTCATTATTCTCTGGCTGCTGTCAAGATTTTTTCTTTGTGTTTAGTTTTCAGTAGTTTAATTATTGTGTGTCTTACAGGAGATTTGGGTTTATCCTGTTTGGGGTGTGCTGAGCTTCGTGAATCTTTAGATCTGTGTCTCTTGACAAAACTGAGAAGTTTTCAGCCATTATTTTTTTGAGTACCTCTTCAGCCCTGCCTTCTTTCTCCTCTTCTTCTGGGACTCTGATGACATTAAGGTTAGATCTTTTGTTATAGCCTCATAGCCCCTGAGGGTCTGTGTATGTTTTTCAAACTATTTTCTCTCTGTTGTTGAAATTGGATGATTTTAGTTGTTCTCTCTTCCTGCTCATGGATTCTTTCTTCTGTCCCCTCTATCCTTCTATTGAGTGCATCCACTGAGCTGTTTACTTTTGTTATTGTATTTTCTAGTTATAATATTTCCATTTGGTTCTTTCTATATTTATTTAGTTGCTGAGACTTTCTATTGCTTTGCTGAGGCTTCCTATTTTTTCATGTTTCAAGTGTGTTCATAATTGTTTATTGAAATATTTTCATCATGGCTGCTTTACAGTCTTTGTCAGATAATGCTAACGTCTCCATCATCTCAGTGTTAGTGTCTACTAATTGTCTTTTTGCATTCAGTTTGGGGTCTTCCTGGTTCTTGGTATGATGATTGATTTTCTCTTGAAACCTGGACATTTTTGTATTATGGTGAAACTCTGGATTTCATTTAAGTCTTGGGTTTTAACAGGCTTTTTCTGGCACCACTTTCTTGGGGTTTGGGGATGACTCTGTTACTTACAGGTAGAGGTAGAAGTCCAGGTTCCCCATTAGACCTCTGCTGACACCGAGGGGAGAGATCTTGTCCTTACTGCTGGTCAGGGGATTGGGTGGGAGTTTCAACTCCCCACATGGTCTCCACTTACATTGGGGAGTAGTTACCATGCAGCAGGGGTGAAAGTCCTGCTCCCTACTCAATCTGCTCTGAATCCGCAGGCAGGGTCGGGGGGAGGTTGGGGGAACTCATCCCAGCCTCATGAGGGAGCATGTCCAGGCTCCCTCTTAGCCTTTGTTGGCATGGGTGGGGCAGGGCTGTGCTTTTTTTGTGTGGTGTTTGGTGGGAGTAGAGCTGTTATTGTCTGAGATGTGCTGAGTCACTCCTTTTCTGGCCCTCTCACTAGGCAGAGGTGTCTTTACTTGGGGCTTCGTCTGCACCCGTTGGTGTCCCAGGTTGCTGACCTGTTCAGCTCCAAGAGATACATGAGCCAAAAGAAACCCAGAGAACACAGGACATATTGCTCCTCAGGTCCCCAGGTCCCTGACTGGTTGGCCTTCTTCTCTCCACCCTTCACAGCTGTCCACTTGTATAATTTACAGTGTTTTTAGTTGTACCTAGTGGGAAGAATAGGGAAAATTACGTCTTCTTCATCTTCCTGGAAGTGGACTCTCTCTTCTCAGGGTTTTATCTCCTCTGATATGCCTTGGAGAGAAGTTCAGAGGGGAGGTCTAACCCCCGGATCTATGCATTCTGTTGTTTTTATATCCAGCTGCCTGGTTCCTACCTGCTCCCAGGAAAGCTTAGAATTTGGGCTGGGGGTTCAGGGTCCTCCTCAGACTGTCCCAAAGACCATGTTTAGCAGCTGGCCAACTGTTGTGACTGAGCCCTCCTCACAGAACCCAGAATTGACATAGTTCAGACTTTTGTGCTCTTTAGATGAAAAATGTTATTGAAATTCTGTTATTTAAATTTTAAAAATGACTTTGTTTTCTTGGGAAGTTTGTTCTGTATTCTTGATTTTCTCTGTTTCGTGATAGATATTGATATTAAGGCCATACTTTTGGGGATAGCATGGTTAAACTATGCTTATTTTCTAAATCCACAGTGCTTGATATTATGCTAATATTGCAAATGTGCTTTCAATTGAGAATACTCCTGGAAATGGACCAATAATCGCCACATAAATACACAGTTCATATGGGATGTTTTTTAGTTGCTCTTGGCAAATGGGACAGACTTGCTTATTATTAATTACATTTAATCCTAAAGTAAGGGTAACAGTGACTGCAGGACTGGGTCTCTGCAGCAACCATTGTCTAAGTGTCGTGTTTCAAACTGAGCTCTCAAAACAAGTTGCCATAGGAGGCCGGCCTGTTGGGTGAAAATTCCCATCAGCTTCTACTGCGAGTGCCATTGAGCCTCCTGAGATTTAGAACTGTGCCAACTGTTGGAATATTGCCATTTGTAAATTTTTTAAAAATGTTGGATTTGCATTTGAAAAAATATTGAAGTGTGTATGAAGGCAGCTTATATGTACTGAGCTATTCTTTTAATTCCACCCAGAATATGAAGTTCTTAGCAAGTTCTGGACCTCCTTCCACCACACTTACACACACACACACACAAACAAGCACAGAGCTGCCCTGATTTGAAGATTTTGGTAGTGTGTTTTTGTACAAGGCATAAAAATATATCTCTGTAATTACATGATATTTAGTGATTAGATAATTATGGATAATTGCATAGGGTAGTTCTAAGTGCTAAAGTGTTATCATAAGATCTAAAATGTACAAATTGCATAATAATTATTCTTGGGAGTTATTTGGTAATTTTGAACATAATTATCATGTGATCTGCAGTGCATGTAATTAATGCATAATCACATGAATTTTGCCTTCATAACTACTTCGCCCTTGTTATAAAGTTCTTTGTCATAACATTTGAGTATAAATATAATGTAATTGGCTCCCAGATACAGTACATTAAGCCCCATGATAATTGCTTTCACAGTAACAATATCCCTTATTTCGTGCCAAATGTGTGGCTCTTAAGCAGGATGGGGTTAAGAAGAACAAATCACACAAGATATGCCAATGAACAGGCAGAATGGTGGCTGAGTGGTGGGTGAATATGTACACATTTGAGTGAAGAGTATCTTTGCTATGACCAAAACCTTGCTGTGTAGAAAATTTGCCTCTTTTATCGTGGACAGAATCTCTTTTCTAACTGAAATGTGTGCCTGATTGAAGGCTCCTTGCTGTCCAGCCACGGCCAGCACCCACTATGCCTAATTTTTTCATATAGCAAAGTACCCATCGTATTTCTGGGCTATTAGTTTCAGAAAGCTGGAGTTTCTATAAGGAGAAGACCTTATTAGTAAACCACAGTGAAAGAGAGCTTTGGTTTATTGATGATATTGAGGGAAACCTTCCGAAATGGCAGCAATTACTCAAGAGACTGAAACAAGAGCTTTGGCTCAACTTCCAAATTGACAATGCAGTTTTTGCAACTTTCCCCACAGGTTTCACATGGCAGGATGACTATACCCAGCATGTGATGGCCCAGGAACTCTCAAACCTTCCCAAAACCTACCCACAACATCCTGAAAGTTCCAACCCAGCCAGGTAAGCAGACTTGGTTTATGTCTCCTGGCTGTCTGGCACAGCTGGCATCCATCCAGCCTGTCTCTTTTTCAATGTAGCGAAGCCTCTGGTGTGGAGGTTTCACAAAGTTGGGATGTCTATAAGGAGGGGATGGGTGCTTCCATCTCCACTGTGTCTTGGCCCCGGGGGAAAGATACATTGGAGCGCCTCTCTTACGAAGTGCCATTCTCACTGACAGACATGCTCAAGGGTCCCTGCCCTAGTTCTTCCCGGAGGCCCTTGGAAAGTCTTGCATCTTCAGAGCCTTGCTTGAAAGCAGAGAAGTCAAGAATTTTCATTTCCCAGTAAGGCTTTATGTTCGCTTTAGTACAAAAAGCAGAATTAGATCGTGGAAGTCTTTCTGTTCCCCCAGCATAGCTACCTATAGGAACTGAATATTTAACCCCACACCGTGTCACTGCATCTTCCCTGCATGGTGTGAGGAAATTACTCATGTCTCCTCTATTCTTGCAGGGTGGAAACTGAGACATAGGGAAGTTGAAAACAGTCCAAAGACAACAAGTAAGCGAGCTGAGACTGTTTCATTCCTGAGCTGTTGTGCTCTTTTTCTTCGTGGTTATAAAGCATGAAAAGGAACTTCCCTAAAGGCTTAGTTGGGAAAGTCCATTTCTTCCTGAGAGAGAATTTTCTAAATCCATAGCCTTTGGTTAGAAAAATCTCTATAACTGAATTTGTGTCTGCCTTTGTGTTCATGACCATCTAATAGATGAAGCAGCTAAGTCACCAAGAAGTTGATTTCCAAGTCCTGTGGGATGAAATGAATGAATACACGTAAAGAACTTGTACATACAGAATATGTCACCATATTAGCTCTCTCGCTGGCCGGACTGTGAGTTTCTTGAGAGTAAGAACTGTGTCTCTGTATTTCCTATGACAGTACATCTCCCTTGAATGCCTCGTTTGACAAAGAGAATGTGCCACTATAGTCTGTGTGTGTAAGACATTTCTGTAGAAAAAACAAAAACCAAACCCAAAACCAAAGTCAAACTATCTTGAATTCCCATTTTCATTTTGGATGAGTTCAAACTCTTCCCACTGCTCTTTAGATTACACCTGGGTATTTAAGTTCCACCCACTCCTTCTTCCCTCTTAGTGAAGATTTAACTGAGCGTGGAGCACCATCCCTAACAACCTTGCACTCCACTAAGAGAGGGAATTGGGCTGGAGAGCCCAAGAAGGTTAAAGAGCAGAGGGATAGGAGAGTCAAGAAAACTGAGCAAGGAATAACTCTCTATGTGGTCTAAATGTGACTGAAAAGTACAGCCAAGGTGGGGAAAAACCAGAGTATGGTGTCACCAAAAGCAGAGTGTGTCCGGAGAGAATGACTGAGAAATCAGACCAGGTGAGACCATGGCACAGACACCTGGGTCACTACATTCTTAGCAGTGTCAATAATGTCAGTTTTTTAGTTGCCAGTTTTATTATGAAAAATGGTACCTTTTATTTTTATTACAAGTGAGATTAAAGATTTAAGAGTATACATATATAAAGATTGGAATTTTATTCTATATGAATTTCCTGTATGTGATCTTTGTCCATATAAGTATTTTTCGCATTTTTCTGTTTTGTTTCATTCAGTATAGAGTCTTTATATTTAAGACTAGTAACTTTCATTTCTCATACTTGTAGAAATATTTTTTCCAGTCTATACCATAGATGGCACTAGATATAGTTGTTAATGAAAACAGAGAGCTCTCAGCCCTCTATAGACTGGATTCTAGTTTTTTTCCTTGAGCTGTTGAACCTCAAGAAAACCAGTCATCCATCTCTAAAGGCAGCATCCCATTCGGGGAGGACATGATGGGATAGTCTCCAGATTCCTTCCCACCCTCTCTGCCGGCTCTGCCCAGAGAGACGGGTCTTCTCGGGCTTCCAGTAGGTCCCCTTGACCTCGGGCTGGGGTTGGGTTTGGCCTGTGGGTGCAGCCCCAGCGTGGAGGGTGGGGTCCAGATGACAGGTGACTATTCTGCCCAAGGTCACAGCCCTCTCTGCCCTTAGCTCTGGTCCCGTGACTCCTCCCTCCTGTCCATCCAGTTATTCTCCATCATAACCCTCGTTGGTTCTTAGTCCTGCCATGCCTTTGTAAATAGTTCCCTTAGTAAACTCCCAGGATATCCCATTTCAGGGTGCCGTCTGTTTCCTGTGGGGACTCTGCCTGATAGAGAGACTCAGCAGCCAAAATAAGGAGCATAGCAGCCTGTCGTCTTCCTGCTCAGCTGCTGTTCCTGCAGCAGTGTGTCAAGGTTACGTGATCGTCATGATACATGTGGAATAGTTTTCATTCTTTTCATAAAATTTCTGCAAATCTTTAGCATTGAAATGATCTGCTTCCTGGTATATGTATTTTTAATCTTTCTTTGTAGGTAAATCTCATGACACTTTCATTGTCTTCCAAGATTATTGGCAAAATATGCTCACAGTTTTATATTGAGTGAAATTGGGGCATTTATATTTTGCAGAGAACTATCATCCTTTTCACAGGGATTTCCAAATTTGTTCACTTAGTGCAACACATGGTGTTTATTGTATTAGAATTCCAAAATCATCCAGCGTATGTGTGGTTGTCACTCCTTCGTCATTTTTAACTTTATTTTTCTCTTCACTCTTTCAACACAATTTTTAAAAAGAATTATCTCTTGAATATTCTTCTTTCTACTATCCTTAGATTTATTGTCTTTTATAAAAGTTCTTGAGTTGAACATTTTGTTCATCTTTTTATTTATTCATCTTTAAAAAGTAATGAAATCACCCAAGTCTCTGCATTTGCCTGTGTCATATCAGCATGATCCTGTGATTTCAATGTGTTCTCATCAGTTTTTGTTGTAAATTATATGTAATTGCAATTTCATATCCTTTGGGAACAATAAGCATTTGTAGTCTTTTTCATTTTTTCATAATTAAACTTTAGCGTAAATTTTACTCCATTTTAGTCAGCGAATATTACTTGTTCAGTTTTTAGTTTTTGGAAATTTTGAGGTTTATACTATACTTTTATTAATTTTCAGTGGATTCTTCAAAAGGATATTATATCCACTATTTGTAGGGTAAAGATTTTTATATACAATTTATAATTATATATATACATATAATTTGCAATTGTATATAAATATCAATCATAATACTAAAAAGTCAGTGTGTCCTTATTTATGTTTGACTCATTGAAATTTCTTAGACACAAACTGTGTTTCCGTAAGTTTTCCTTTCATTGTTAATATATTCTGCTTTATACTCTTAGAGGTCCTGACATTTAGCACATAAAGGTCTATGTCGTTTCGTCTTTGTTGTCAGTCGTACCTATTGCCATTTTTAAATGATGTCTTTGTCGCCTCTAATGTTTTTTGCCTTGGATTCCATTTTTCTAAAATTAGTATTGCCATTCCTAATTTTGGCCTTGTTTTTGCTGCCTAATTAATCTGTGGCCGTCCTTTAAAGTTTCACCCGTTGGACTCTTTCTGTTTTATCAGTAACATCGAATGCCTTTTTCAGCCTCCCGGACAGCTCAGTAAGGGCACTCACACCATGGAAGGCCCTGATTTCTTTCTTTCCTCTACGGACTGCGATTAGTTTGCTTTTGCCATCTTTAGTAGTTGTAACTATGTATCTTATTTTAAATTCAATTTGTGCCTATTGCCCTTAGGTTTTCCAGATATTTTTAAGTAACAAGTTTATGTAGTTATTAATAAAGGAGTCCATATCTTCTGGTACCCCACCTGAGATAAGGAGCTTGTGCTTCCCCCTTCTCCACTTTCCAAGTGGGGCTTCTGACCAGCATATCCCTAGCACCTGGAGTGCGCCTTTCACGAGGCAGACATCCTGTTGGTATCTGTTGAATAAAGGAAGGAAGGAGAGCATGAACTATCTGCTGATGCTTTGAATTATTATCTGGGTAGCTACACTAACCAGGAATCTTGACCGACTTTCTTCATTCCAGGGGTGCATTTCTAGAGCATTCTGTGCTTGGTAGATTTGTGAGTATCCACAGTCGGCCAGTGAGAAAGTACTTGGCGTTCTTCATTCAAGTCAGTTTATGTTTAGAGAGATTAGGGTCCTTGCCCCAAACCAATGGCCCATTCAGGAGGCAGAGATGAGTTAGAATGCAGCCTTCAGGGGGCCCCGGCCTGTTCTGGGCTGATCAGAGTGAGGATGCATGAGAAAGCCGGAAAGAGGCATGATGCAGACAGTCAGTGCAGCGACACTGAGTGTAAGGACAGAGCTGAAAGTGTTTGGGCATGCTGAGGACCTAAGACCCTAAGAATGCCCTTTGCCAAAGCTCCTGAGACAGGAAGAGATGACTGGGAGTGCCAGCATGATGCAATGAACTCCAGTAACACTGGAGAGAACCGTGACCAGAAGATTGGGTCAGGGGGGTCATGAGAGTTTTATGTGAAAAATAAAATGAGCCTGAAATCATTATTAAATAAGGTTAGGATTATTGAGAAAAGGAGTGAGAACCAGGTTCACCTGTGCTCTTTGCAAAGATTTTGTTCATAATTTGGATTTTTTTGCCTCCAGCTAATTGGGTAACAATTTAAAGGACTTCATATTATTTTGAGCCTGAAGGTCAGTTCATGTAAGTGGGAAAGAGAGTAGTGGAGACCTAAGTGTAGAACACTTTTGATCTTTTAGAAGTAGAAGATGTATATTTATAAAGTTTGACCTACTTCAAACCAAATGACAGGGCAAAAGTCAATTTGCAAGTTAATTGCTACAAAACCGCACAACATAATGATGAACACTCCCATCACTGTAACATATTACAGCATCACAAACAAATCTGCAAGTACCCACAGGCACACAGGGAAGATGAATAAGACAATTTAAAGGCACATTTATGAGGTGGTGCTATCTGCATTGATTAGTAATTAGTGAGAAAAATAGACGAAATACCAGAAAAGTACATTGACTTCAGTTAAATTACACTCTGACAACGTAGAACATGGAATTTCATGCATTGAAGAACGGTCAAGGGAACAATAGCCGTGACTGAGAATAGCTGTGGGGCCTTGGTGATCAATGTGCTGTTGAGTCTGAGCTAATATGACTGAAAAGCCATTAGAAATAAAAACAGGACAGTTTTATCAATTGAGATAGTTAAGCACAAATATGAAGATTTTCTGTAAGTCCCAGCTTTTATGAAATACATGCATATATCACACACCTAACATTAGGGATCTGTTCTTGAAAATCGGACGTTCTACGTGAAATCACTGCTTGGGAGCCTGTTCTCCATTACTTTAAGTGGGAAATCTATGATGAGTTACACACCCACCTAAAACCCCAATGCGTTTCCTAAAGTGTGTCTAAATCATAGTGAGTACCCACAGATGAGTAACAAGCTGTTGTGTTTGGATAAAAAATACTTAAAACATTGTTTCCTGGTCACCAAAAGTGGAGATGGGTATTAGCAAATGGGCACTTGATTTGCAGTAACACAGCCTCACCCAGAACCTGCAAAACACACACATAGACACACACACGTGTAGACACACTCATGCATGCATGCGTGGTGATGTCAGCCTGTGGTCACTGCCAAATTCCTTGTTACAATCAGAACATAGAGCATTCCCTTTGATAAAGCAGCATTCTTACTGTTTGGCTAGAATAGGGTATCCAGATCAGCCTGTCGTAAATGGACGTCATCCCTTGGCCTGCAGAAGTCAGGTGGCGAGCAGATAACAGTGCTGGCAGTAACTATACATGCTCACCACACGGGCATGTGGACCTTAGTGGTTGTCCTGTACCACTGAGGTGGCAAGTGTGGAGAGAAGCGGATGGATCTGGGTGTATTGTTTAGGTCATCTCGTGGGATGGTGTTGACGTGTAGGCAGAGGGAAGAGAAAAGCACAAGAGTAACAGTCAATCCTCTAGGTTTGTGGCTTAAGCAACCTGTTGAATGGTGTTGCCATTTACAGAGCTGTGTTGTCGATGGGCATCACTAAGCTATTTGCTTATAGCAAAGTGCAAGAGGAAAAAGATAAACTGAGGGAAGAGCTCTTAAACTAAAAGGAATCTGGACTGGATCATTTGGGAAGTTCTCAGCCTATCAAGAGTGCAAAAGATGCTGATGGCAGGAATTCATTGTCAGGAAAGCCAGGAATGGGGAGGCCAGCCCTTTGCCAGTCCTTTACAGGGATCAAGAGGCTGGAGAATTCAATGACAGGCGTCTGTGAAGAGACACCTTCCTGTCTGATTTCCTTCCGCACTTAGGAGACACCCTGGGCCTTTTCCAGTTGGGTGGTGTGCATCAAAGCAAAGTTGTCAATTGGGCTGCGAAGCTCTGGGTCAGCAGAACCCTCAGCACTGAAGCCGATGTCCAGGTCCAGGCTGTGAGATGGAAAGCTCTTTATGGCCCGGGCTCTGGGAAGCAGCCCTGTCACCTTTGGCCAGCTCTCGGCAAGCCAGGGTGAGAAGACAGGGAGCAAATCTAGACAGGAGCTGGACATTGAGGGCATTCCTTCCTACCCCGGCTTAGGTCCCAGGACAGAGTGAGTTGTGACATTGGTTTCCTGGCGCCTGTTAGGAGACTTGTGGCCCTGACTTTCTTCTGGTTCCCATGGCCATCTGGTCACTTTCTCAATGCCTTTTGTTTTGGCTGCACTTAGCCAGTGACAAATGTCTCGGCTGGGAAATAGGTGACTCTCTTAATGACTTTGAGCATAAGTAGGATGGTCACATCTGACTGCCCTTCATTTTGTCTCCCAGATTCCCAACTTGACAGCCAACCTGTATGTCTGTGGCCTTGTCCTCATGGCCCCCTCTGGACCCAGCCTCTTCCTTATAGGTACTCGGGTGCAAAGCCACATCCAGCTTCAGGATGAGCTTGCACCACACTGCCACACAGGAAATAAACAGAAAGTGTCCTCATCTGTCATTCCGGCTTCAAACTGGTCTGCCTGGCACGGTCCATGCACACAGATGGTGATCCAAGCGTGGCCTTTGGTAATAACAGTACTACAATGTAGCAGTATGTAGCACTGTGTTAGTTTCCTACTGTGGCGAATTACCACAATGGAGTGGCAGATTTATCATCTTACTGTTCTGTAGGTCAGAAGTCCAGCACGGGCCTCCCTAGGCTGAAGTCTAGGTGTCGTGGGGCTGGCTCCTTCAGCAGGCTCTGGGCGAGGATCGTTCCTGGCTGTTTGCATCTCCAGAATCTCCCCCACTCCTTGGCTCCTGGTCCATCCTCCCAAGCTGGAACTCTTTTTCACATGACATCACTCTGACACCAACCCTCCACCTCCTCTTCCTCTTTTAAGAAGCTTGTGATCACACTGGGACGCTAACCCAGGATCATCTCTGCATCTTAGTGTCAGCTAACTAACCACCCAATGCCTCCTGCCCCCTTATCTACCGCGTGGCGCTGCGCCTCCTGTTGCTGGGAAAGTGGCTTTCACGTTTGCTGTGATATCCCGCCTGCCTTGCTTGTAAAGTGGTCAGTTCTCTGTTCTACTGCCCCAACCTCCACTCCCAGCTGCCAGGGCTCCTTACAGCCCCGTCCGGTCAGACTGTTCCTGACTCTTTGCTTTGCCCTTGCTGTCTCTGTGCCTCCATTCCATTTCCCGAGACCTCTGGCCCCTTCCACATAGACCTCCAGCCTCAGGCCTGCCGAGCGCTGCTCCTCTCTCTGCCTCTCAGACTCTCGTTGCACTTGTTGTAAGTATCAGCTCTTTCCTGTATATTAGTGTCTCCTGTAACATACTTTAGGGCTGGCCCTCTTCTCGGGGTGGCTCGTCAAGTCCCCACAGTGGCTCTGAGGTATGTCAGGGCATCAGGCTCAGGAGGGTGCATGAGAGATTCAAATCCTGGTTAGTGAGAGCTAAGGAGGGTCGGACCTTGCCACCTGGCCACGCATCCTGCGTGCATAATTTCTCTCATGCTCCGGCAGTGGTGTCCAGCACAGGGCCGGGCGCCTGATCACCATCCAGCTGACATGCAATGGCTCACAGTGTTCTTTTGCTTTTCAGGACCTCAATGCAGAGTGTTGATAATGAAAAGAGATACAGTCAGGAGGGTGACATTGCACTAGCCAAGGCCCTTCAGCGCTACCTGCCGTACCTGGAGGCCCTGTCCCAGGCCACCACCTCGAACCTGCTCCCCAGGATGAAGCATGGCAGACCACCATCTGAGGTGACCCTTAGCTTACTCTGTGATCTGGGATGTGTCTGTTACCTGCTGTGTTGGTTTTCTCTGGGTGCACACACAGGGAATGCTTCCTAAGTCTTCAGCCTCTCTTTGTTTTTCTCCTGTGTCCCAGGCTAGTGGGTGGTATGGTGAGGGACAGGGATTGTGTGCAGACAAATGTCCCTGGAGCCCTTTTAGAATCACGCACCACTCCCCCCGCCACGTCCAGCAGTGGCTGCCTACCCACCATCAACACTGAGCCAATCAGTGGTCCAAGCCACCCTTACCAATGGTGAGGGTCTTTCGGATGTCTTCTTTGGGACAGGCACTGGAGAAAGCCCACCATCTAAAATATGGCATGACACTTGGGAGGCAGCACAGAGCATTGTTTCCTCCCTTTAAGGAGAGGACCTGCATTCACTGCCTGAACCCAGGACAGCAGTGGACACTCATCTGTGAGGGAAGACAAGCTCCCTGAATTTGGCTGGAATTAGGTGGGCACAGGGTGACCAACCATTGTGGTTTGCTCAGGGCTGTCCTGGAGTGAGCACTCCAAGTCCTGCGTCCAGGACACCTCTCCTTGCCAGCACACCTGCCTCGGTGGGCGCCCTGTGTGGGCGAGGAGGGCCTGGAACCAACTGACTGGCCCTCGGGGAGAAGTTCCCTTTACACCAATGCTGAATCTGCCCTGGGGCTATCTCAGAGTGCGGGAACATTCAGAAGAACACTTTAAAGAAACAGAATTAGAAATCTCCATGACCTTTTACGTGGAAAAGCGTGCATGATTTTTATAACAACTTGTTAAACCGGAGTTGCCAGACTTTGACTTGCCTGGACACAGGCAGAGATGGGGGGCTACAAGTGACCCTCAGCCAGACGACCATCGCACGTCCTGAGGATGGGATTTGGGGCGAAGTATGGAAGCCCTGGAGGGTCCTGGGTGTGCTGGTGTTTGACAGCGATGCTCACACTTCTGTTTTGCCAAGCATTAGTTACATCAGCTGAAATTTGACATATTTTTGCTTCTAAGAGTGACACTCACTGGCTGGCGTGAGGCTGGGGGTGCTTTTCACTTCCTCAGAAGCTCCCCAGTCTCCTCAGAAGATGGCTGGGGCTCTTGGAAACACGTGGGAAGAAATTTGATCCACTTATTTGATTATTTTCCTGTTACGAAGCCATTGAAATTATGTAAGCCGACTCTGGGCTGGCATTTCTGGCAACGCATACACACCAGTTCCTTTGAGAGGCCACACGGCTGACGATGCCTCACAGAGTCACCTTAGGATCTTAGTGACCTTGGAGTTGACACATCAGAAGAGAACTCATAGAAGGCTGTAGCCCCACAAGGAGATGTGGGCTAGGTTAAGAAGCTGGTTCATTTCTGCCTCTTAGGGGCAAACATCAGAAAAAGGACCTCTGTTGTCCAGCTGCTCTCCAGGATGCTCGTGTGGCGCCCTCCTGGAGGCCCCTCGCCATCCAGCCTCCTTGATACAGAGGTGCCTCACAATAATGTTGGAATGTAGAGGCCCTGTGAAGAGTCCAGCACTGGCCCAGCACTCATGCTGAGGCCACAGGGGTTTCCAGAGACCCCAGGTCACGTTTGAGAGCTGCTGGGAGCGCTGTCCCGCACAGCTCTTATTCATGTTTCCCTGAGGAAACAGCCGCGACATGGGTCCCTGGAACCGCTGCTGAGCCTCGGGAACCTGGAAATGTGTTTGCCCAGTTCTCAGAATCCGTCCTAACGGCATGGAGTGGGGTCTCAGTCCTCACAGATGAGCACAGGCAGCCGAGTGCTAGAGCCCCTACAAGGAGAGAATGAGACCACAGAGGGACAGTTCTGCACTATGCTTCACCCAGGCCCACCCCAGCCCAGGTTGCTGGCCAGACTGAGAGGCATGGTTCAAAGCCTTTCACATGAACCATCAGCCAGCATCTCAACATGGGCCTGATCCTGATTCAGCAGGGTCCACTTAACACTTTTTTAAAAACGTTAAACTTAAGGTTTTTTCAATTCATTTGCTGGTATTGACTAAGCACTTTCTATGACCCAGAGGCTCAGCTAGACGTTGTGGGGTGAGAGATGGATTCCAGAGAGGAATCTCTTCCTGGGCGAATCGGCGATGGGCAGACATGGTGGGAGAGATTCTGGACGTTCTAGAGCAGAATCCTGGCAGTTTCAGGAGCGGGCTCAGAACCAGCTCCTCTCCAAGTGCTGTGTGGCCTTGGGGAAGCTACTTAACCTCTCTGTCCTCCAGGGTCCTTGGCTGTAAAATTGAGCAATAGTGGTCATGAAGTCGTTGTGAGGATTAAGCAAGAAAATATATGTAAAGCTCATGGAGAAGGGCTCACTTGATAGTAGTTATTATTATTAATAATAAAATAATCTTTTAAAAACAAAATGACAATTAGGTCAAGAGTCTGAAAACCATCTGCTGGATTCTTAGTGGATTTCTTGACTCTACCGAGGAGAATCAGAGGAAAGCAGCCACACTCACAAAACAGAGTTAATCAATATATCCCAGCGCCTCAGAATCCCCTGGAGCCGTGGGCTGCTGCCCCGGCCACAATGCAGTGCAATACAGATTTCATTTGTTTACTTCACAACCTGGTAGAGACCGACATTTCTCACAGTCCTCTGTGTATTGGTGAGTTAAGTACATTCCAGTACAAAGTCATTGTTTTGTCTTCCTGCGTTGTGCCCTGTTGTGTCGTTATCAAAAGGATGTGATGCTTTGTGCTCCGTCTGGCTACTGCTGTGGGATCTCTGGGCTCCTATAATGGAGACGTCACATTATGTCCCTGGGTATTGGATGCGAGTAATCAATAAAGAGGAACCCATGTGCAGTCCAGAGATGTGTTCGAGGAGGGAGAGGAGAGAGCGGTTAAAAGTTCCAGAGACTCAGAAGAAGTTTGAATGAAAGGAAATCAGTTGAAATTTCTCTGTGAAGCAGTTTAATGTGTTTTCCCCCAACTTAACATGATATCCAACAAACCAGACTTATGTCCTCTTTGTCAGCTACAGAAACAGAAGAGGAAGGGGCGCAGGCTCCAAGGCATGGCCCGCCAGCCTCAGGGCAGTAAATGAAGCGTTGACTGCAAAGAGCATTTGGTTTTGTACAGTGGAAGCCTCAGTTGTTCACTTCTGAACTCATTATCATGTTTCTCTTTCAGTTTCAGTTGTTTACTAATTTAGCCCTCATGCTAAAACGACAGAGTCAAATTTAGAATAGAATTTGCTCCCTGGACAAGGAGCGGCATGAAATTCAACTGGAGGGAGTATTAAATGGGACCCCCAACTCTCTGCCGTATGCTCTTGCTGTTAGCACCCCAATGTGAGTAAAACAAGAGGTTTGACATTCGGCGTTAGAGATACATCGCAGCAAATTGTAGAAACTTGTTGAAAGGGGAGACTTTGGTTGCCTGTCAAGCAGTTTGTACCATGAACATTGGGACGTGCTGTGGGTAACATCTGTGAAATGGCGAGGAGCAGCTCCTGGGGGAGGGAAAAGTGCTGCTGCTCACAGCCACTCTCAGGGTACTCACGGGACAAGGGCTTCTGAGGTGGGTAGATCATCCTCTTGCATCCATATACTAATCAGTAGAGTTTACTGCGGAGTCTTTCCAGTCCTGACTCATGTACGGTGTGATTCCAACACCAGGAATCTGACATGTGTCCCGGGGCCGTTCTCAAAGCAGCCTACCCAGCACACATTCTGGCAGGAAGTGTGATGTGTATCTTCGCACGGGGCCACTCATCCCTTCAGGAGCTTATTCTCGAGGTGGCGGGAGGACTGAGCTCTTGAGATGGGGGTCCATTACCTCCGATGCTACTCTGCAGTCTCTGGGGTGCTTGGGAGGGGAATGGCATCCTGTCCCTGCCCACATCCCTACCTGCTCTCCATTTCAAGGAACAGACATGGGAAAAGGGGGTTGGTAGGGTCTTATTAAACATCCTTCACTAACCACTTGCTACCTTCCATCAAGTTTGGCTTCTATAATCTTTAAAACTCCCACCCAGTAAGATGACTAGACAGTGTGGTTTGTCTGGACAGTGCTGGTTTATGCCTGTTGCCCCATCATAATTACTAATAAGTCCTCCTTTCCCTCTCAGAAATGTTCCAGTTTGACTAATGAATTCTATGTTGATCCTACCACACCGCCATCTTAGCATGATAGTCACAAGGATTATTCAGAAAATGAGCACTTGGTGGCATTTTTGGCTCAGGTATTTTTCTTCTATGTTAAGATAGATGCTTCTCAATATTAAAAAATATGTGAAAACCTAGAACTCATTGTTTTCTCTGTCCAATGTTTAAATGAGGAGAAAGCTCTTCGTCATCTCTCTAGTGAACAAAGGCTGGATAAAGTACAAGATGTCCATGATCAAATATCACCAAAGCCACTGTGCAGACTCTGTCGCCACATGAGTGCAGCCAGCTGAGGTTTGGTCAGTGTTTTCTGATCCCCCTCTGCTCTCAGTTGATGAAATATTTCAGTTGGAAATTTAAGCTGTATACACTGATGGTCTTTCAAAGTGCAACCAATTTCCAATGAATTATTTTATAAATCATTTTTTCTGTGTATCTGTCATTAAAAATCTAACTCTCGCATAGAGAGTCAGAGAAATATTGTGAATTTATTATCTTTAGAGGCTTTAATACTGATTACTCCATAAGAGAAGCCGGAGGGAGTAAAAATCACACTACTCCTCTTAAATCAAACCAATAGCTCAAAGCTCTGATGCACTAATTGAGCTCTTATTGATCATGAAATAAGTGTAATTATTCCTTCTGTGTTGTTGTGGCGGAAACCAGCTCCTGCTTTTATCGACCACAGTAGCACTCGTGAAAAGTCCTTGTAGTCAGTATAGAGAACATTGTAAATTCCCAATTTACTCTACGCTATTGAAGAGGCTTAAACAGAAATTCATCACTTGGAAATACTATGAATTAACTGTTTTATTTTGGAAACATTGTTTTAGCATCTTTAATGCACGAGAAACTTTG